TTTTTTTTTTTTTTTTTTTTTTTTTTTTTTTAGTGGGATCAGGACACCTCTAGGACAAGATCTGGCAGGTGAGCAGTTTCCAGTGTGTCCTGTTTGCAGCTGAGAAGCCCGACCCTGGTAGCTCTCTTGTGCTCACACCTTTAGGGTATAAACAGAATCTCTTTTCTGATGCAGAGAGGGACAAATTCCTTTTCAGGGACAGAANTCTCTTGTGCTCACACCTTTAGGGTATAAACAGAATCTCTTTTCTGATGCAGAGAGGGACAAATTCCTTTTCAGGGATAGACCGGCAGCTTTCAGAGCTCCCGCTCGCCTGGAACTCCAGAGACTAGAGAAGTCTCAGGAAGGCTTCCAGGTGAGTGTGGACTCGGAGCAAAGGGCATTTCATTCATGTATCATGAAGTTTGGGAACTAAACAGAGTGGGGGATGTTCCCAGAAGGCCCATCAGCTCCCCCGTGTCCTGTCCTGAGCCCTGCCCTGCACAGAGCCCTCGGTTCACCTTCTCTCCACAGTTAGGGACTTAGCTCTAATGATACTTGAGGGAATTGGGCAGCCATCCCTCAGTCAAGGAAGAAAGACAAAATTCTCGGTGGTGTGAGAAGCAAATGGGAATGGGGACTTAGGAAAGTGTTGTGGGGGGCACTCTAGGGAAGGTTTTTTCTGGTCCCCAAACTGGTGCAAGGTCTGAATGGGGGCAGGTAGTTGCCCTGGGGGTGTCTGGAGCTCTCCAGCCCCGAGTGGAGCAGCTGGGGGAAAGGGGGGTTCTTGGTCTCCCAAAGCAGCATCCTGAGGCTCCCAGCAGCCGGCAGGAGCCAGAGCCAGGATGGGGACAGCGGCAGCCCCTCGGTAGCTGGAGGCTCGGGGAGCGCGGTCGCTGGAGGACCCCGGGCCCCCGAGCCCCTCTTGCTCCTCCACAGCCCCGTGGGCTCCGTCCCCCCAGGGCGGCCAGGAGCCCGGGAGGTGGGGAGAAGAGGGGAGGGCAGAGGCGGGCGTCAGAAACCCATTAGTTTCCTCTGCGCTCCCCATTCCCTCGCCTCGGCCGCGGGCCCCCTCCCCGCCGGGCCCCTCCCCGCCTCGGCAGCCGAGGTTTCAGCTTTTGATGAAAAATTGCTCCAGCTCTATTCAGGAGGCGGCAAAAGAAGAGTCACCCCCAGGGGCAGCCCTGGGCTGATTGAAAAATAAGTTAATTTCAGTTTGAATCGATGGGCCTCAGGCTCTGAAATATCACGGGAAATTAAAGCGGCCGCTCTCCCGGGAGCCGCGGCATTGACCCGCACTAATTAATGCTGGGGAGGCAGCGAGGGCCGCGCCGCGAGCCGCTCCCCCTCCCCGGGGACCCCGAGCGCTTCTCATTTAACTAATTAGACGGGGAAAATTGGGTGTTAATTTGTTTAGGATTTTTCCCCCACTTCCCCCGGCAGCTCCCTGCCCGGCTCCGCCCCGCGCGGGCGCGGGAAATGAATGCGGGCTCGCCGGCAGATGGCTGCCCCGGTCACTCTGCAATCTTCTCAGACTTGATTGCTTGATTAGGTCGTTAGCACATTTAAAAAAAAAATTGCTTGCCGTCTGGCGCTGGCGTGATGAGTGGGACGCGCGGCAGCGCCTGGGTAATTTATCTTTTTATACGGCAAAGAATTTGATTTCAATCTGCAGATATATGGGGAGCCTTTGACACCTGTTTAACATCGCGCCGCTGACAGCTTAACCCTTTGCTGCCT